GTAGTTTTTTTCTTTATTTCAACACAAAAAAAAAATAAATAAATGAATAAAAATAAATAAATCAAAAAAAATAAATCAATAAAAACAAATAAAAAAAAAAAATAAATAAAAACAAACAAAAACCTGAACAAATAAATAAGTAATATTTCTTACCAATATTTTTCCAAGTTGTCCCACTACAGCACCGACGGCCCCTGCTGCTCCACTAACAAACATAGTTTCTCCAGCTTTGGGCTTCAAGATCTCTGTCACTCCAAAGTATGCTGTCATTCTGCAAATCATAATTAAAAATAATCATAGTTTAAGGTGAAAATGATGTGAGGTGCATTCCCTGTATCAGCATTTGAAGTATGGCTTATCCTGCCATTACATCAATTTTTGTTGGATTCATTACTGTTTTGCTATTTATATGTTAAAAGCACTTAATAATAGATAAGGGTTTTTAAGGGTTCATTATTGATAGAGGTGCTGTCTTCAGTCTCCTCTTTATTATAAGACAGGTTCCACCTTATTCTTGAAGTCAAGGGGCATAAATGACAACACTGACAGCTTACCCAGGCATTCCAAGTATTCCGAGTGACAGCGAATACGGAAGATCAGCAGGATAAGCTGGAACCTTCCTTAGCTGTTGGCCATTGGAGATTGCATGAGTACACCAGCCCGACATGCTCACAACATTAGTTCCCACTGGATAATTGGAATTCTTGCTCTCTATCACCTGTCTCTTATACACATCTAGATGTGTATAAGAGACAGGGGTAATGATTATATAATAACAAACCTCTGATGAATGCCTATTTTCAAATAAATCTTAAGAACAGGCTCGTTGTTCTGTTACCTACTACAAGGGTTTTCTTGGGCATGAGAAAATGTATGCCTACTAATCGCAGGGATGGATCAAGAATTTGTTTGCCGGGAGAATAATAGGGAGGAGTCCGCACCCACCTGGCAAAAAAGTATGTCTTGTACTCTAGTAAACAATTATGATAGATACAATTAACTTACTCTGTGTTGGTGTCTTTGCATTGTAACCTGAGATGGCTCCGCACATTGCTATTCTGCCAAAATCATTCATAATGTTCATCACCTGTCTCTTATACACATCTAGATGTGTATAAGAGACAGATATTTACATAATCTAATAAAATATTAAAATATCACAATTATAACAATTAAATTATTGTTTATATTATAATACACATTCTGTCATATAAAAATATTTACAATCAAAATAAATAGAAAAACATTTTAATTTTATTGAATTATTTCATATTAAATAGGGAATATAAATTCTGAAACTGAGCATAGCTTAATTTTCTGAAAAAAGGGCTGGCACTCTAGTTGTTTTTTGAAGGCATCAAAAGATGTAAATGTGTAACGAAAGTATTAGGGCACATAGAAAAAATTATTAGATTATCACTCTTTTTAAAAAAAGTGTGATGAGGACAGGCATTTTTTTTTAATCGGAACAATAGAATATTTCTTTTTTATCAATAAGGAAGGACTGTTTTATTTGGCAAGAATATTTTAAATATTGTATAAAAGCTGGTTTAATTTTATTGTTTAAAAAAAAATGTATTGCTAGTCACAAAATTGCATTGTATTTTTATGCTTTGAAATAAATGATTATGAAAAAATGAAACACACACACACAACATGATAAATGAAAAAAAAAAAAACATTTTTTTTAATCCTGCATCAATATTTCCGAAATTTTTGATGCGGGCAGGAGTGATAATCTAGCAATTTTTTTTATATTTGCCCTAATCTTGTCAATTGAAAAGCTTCTGTGAAATGCTTGCTATTTCAATTAATTTTGGATAATATAAACTGATTATAAATCTCATTTAATTCAGTACAATAGGACATCTGTTAAGAGGACACAATCAAGACCAAGAAAAGTGTTCCTTTAATAGGGGTGTCCCCTAAATAGCGGTTGGCTGTAGTGTTAAAAGATATACTTTTACTTTTCCATGTTTCGTGGCCCAAAAAGTATCCCCTTAATTAGGGGTGGCTCTTTAATAGGGGTGTCCAAAAGGAAGGGGTTCTACTGTGTTTAACATCTCTATATAGACAAATGCAATTGGGAGTTTTTTAAAGACCACCCTTGCTTGGGACCTTCTCAGGGTCACCCACCCCCTGTGCATGTCATGTCTATGTAAAGGTAGAATAACCCAGGAGAATAACCCATAACTCGCAGTGTCATTGTGCTAAATTGCGTATAGGTGAGGTCCGTGACAACCTAGCCACTGTAAGGAGGTACGACAGCAAAACACTGTACGTATGCACAACTCCAATATTTACATTCGTGGGGATGATGAGAATCCAACCGGCAGAAGTGGCACCAGGAATTCCCCTACGAGGGGTCGAAGCAGCCAGATATGAAGTTCACCCCCTCCTGTTGGGGAAACCTAGCAACACCCACCTCACCCTGTTGGGGAAAAAATGTTGTTGCTATGGTATTCTTTATTTAAAAAGGATAATTTAATAGAAAACCATGGAAGGTAAGAGGCCCCTATCGGGGGTACTAACAACCTGTCGGAGGTAGCACCCCCCCGTCAGGGAAGATCTAGCGCTACCACCGAGACTCATACGATCGCGATAGATATACAACACCTCCCATATATGGTAGCAATAAACAGTTTTTAATCCCTAAAATTTGACAGCTTTGTTAGGCATACCTAAATTGTACTTTCGGCGATTGAGATCTCACTTTTCCCTGACGACCTTGCTTGAAATTCCCCGACAGGAGATCCAAATGGGGGTGGGGTTTCCAGAGGTCCCCGATGGGGGTCCTATACCCCCTGGACGCCCCGCTATCACTGCCCCTGCAGCTATAGCATTTGCAGAGTAGAGAACAATTCCTGCAAATGGATCGGTATATAAAGAAGAAATGGCTACGTACCTCAGTGATGTATTTTATGAATTTTTCAATACCTTCTGGCCATCTAGCAGTATATGTCCACCCCATGAATCCCTCAATTTTCAGATGTTTAGTAAGAATTGGCAACTGAATAACTAAGGTAGTAATAAAACAATATTTCAATATGTTAACATTACAGTTTGGTTCTTACCTTAATCAGGGATTAAAGGTAATTGTAAGAGAAATTTTCACAATTTCATGTTATATGTGAAATCTCAACACGAAATGAGATGCATCTTTAAGATACACTATTCACTATAATAGGTCAAAGTCAAAATGTTGACAAAATTTTGAATTTAATGTTTTTGAATGACTTGATACTTATATTTTCTAATTGTATACTTTTGAAGAGAATTTTCTTACTAACATAGTATTCCCTGCACATATTCTGTAATTTTAGTCCTATTATTTGTACAGGTTAGTTTATCTTTGAGGTTGATTTTCTCAAAACATGGTTCTCATATGTTAAATGCTCACTTCTCTAGATCTACTTATCCTAGTGAACAGTGGTGGCGCCAGCCAGCGGCAGGGGGAATTTGCCCTTCCATTGGGCAGTCCTTGATTTCCTTGTTGTCCGACGCATGACTAGGTCGTCGGATCAAAAATAAAACAAAATAATAATTTGCCTATCCAGATAACGTTATTTTGACTGCCTATCCATAATATAGTGGTTTAAAAAAGCACCTTTGGACCATACTAAATCATAAAAAATCTCCTAGCAGTGAACCCTAAAATAAAGTTTTCATTCAGGGCCTTTGACCAAGGCTTCGTCAGCCCCTTGGCATGGATCGCTGTTGGCAAATTTATGGTGCTACTGCTGCAGGGAAGGCATTCAAAGACCAAGACCAAATTGTAGCTTATAATGTGGCCTACAAAAATATAATAAAAACTAATTTTTTGATTTTTCAACCATGAGACTCATTTTTTGGTGAAACCTCACATACTAATACTGTACTTCAACTTGTATATAATGTTGTTTCACAGTATTTAATATATAAAATGTTAATATTTTAAGTTCCTTTTTGGAAATCTTGATTTCCAGACATAGTGTTATTACTAATAATATTAGGAGACCGTTGATAGTGATTTAGTTCACCTTTCAGAATCCTTTCTTTATGGTGGTGGTTGCTCTAATTTTGCCATGTTTTGTGCCTACAGAACAAAATTTAACACCACCCCTGCAGGGACTGTGAATCCTATGGTTTTAAAAATAAACGCTGAAACTAAAAAATAAACTACGTAAACATCCTTGTAAACTACTTGTCATTTGGGGCCATTTTTCCTGGGCTATTTTTACCTACATTCCTTTCACCATTATGTCCAGAAACAAAGCCCTCGAAAAGTTTGACAATTTAGGGGTTTCGAAGGCTTACACTTTTTTTTTTATAAGAACACATTTTATAAGAACAATGAGGCTGAAATTGCATAAAAATTAAGAACAAAATAAGAACAAATTGAGGATTAGGTAAAATGTCAAATGAAATTTTTATTTAAAAATAACCAAAAATTTATAGGCCTATTTGTACCTTAAGTTCAGTAAGTGTGACTATATAATTCTCTCTATAATACAGTACAGTAGGTGTACCTCCTGTCAGTTGGAGCCATTTTTAGCAGAGCTTTTTTTCTTGGGCTATTTTTTCCAGGCTTTTATTCAGGGGCAATTTTTTCCAGAGCGACTTATACATACATACCGGTACGGTATACTGTATACTGTAATACAATACTTTGAAGTTTAAAAAGTGTGTAAAATAAGAACATTTTGAGCCTGAAATCGGCCAAAAAATAGAGAACACTGAGCCTGGGCAAAATTTTAATGGTTCTTATAAAAAAAAAAGTGTATTTAATCAATTCTAGAGTCTATTAATAGGTACAAAATACATATAATTTTTTTTCCCTGACAAATTGTGGTTTTTCTTCCCGTCGAGGAGGGGAGAGCTCTCCCCATTGGGGTCCTGCCCCCCCCCCACTCTGCTGGCGCCATCCCCTGGATATAATTTATTAACTTACTCTGTATTGGTGTCTTTGTATTGTAACCTGAGATGATTCCGCACACTGCTATTCTGCCAAAATCATTCATAATGTTCATCACAGTACTTGTTAATTCACCTCCAACCTAAAATAACAATAATTACTAGATTGAAATTCTCATGACAAATTTTAGGTGATACACAAGATCCGATAGTTTTCCTCAGCGAGAAAATTTGTTAATGCCCTAAATGGCCTGAAATGTGCTTTAAATTGTTCAAAAAGTGATCTTGGAAATTTAAAATAAACGCACACGTACGCGCACGTCATTATGCGCGCACTGGCGGATGGCACATGAAGTTGACCCTTGATATGAGGTATACTTGTGTCAGTGCTCTAAACCAATTCCCTTTCCATTGACACCAAATATAACCATGTTTTATGTGGTGTTTCAGCTATATTTAAATTCAAAATGACGGCACACAATTCAATTCAGCACACCGAAAATGACAAAGTTGCCAAATAAAATCCATTTTGGCACAAAAATCTAGCTAGATTACATAGCAAACTGTACTAAAATGAGGTCATATATCATGGAAAAACAATAAAATCGTTTTTACTACCACGGTTTCATCATTATCCAATGATTTATTAAATTAAAAGTAAGACATGCAATATATTACTGATGAAATGAAAGAGTAATAAGGAAATCAAAGTATATGTTACATTATCAAAATACATGTGTATACCCTCTGGACACATGTCTTTTAATGTCTTCTCAATATCTGTTGTTGTCTTGTAGTTGAACGCATCATCGTAACCAATTTCTTTCAAGTATTTAATCTTCTCTTCTGATCCTGCTGATCCAATTACACGGCAACCCTTTGAAAAAAGAATATCAGCAGTGAATCAAACAATAAAAATACCAATAATAATGTATGATATAATTCTTTTCATGATCAGTGACAGTCCATGAACAAGGGGTTTATAAGCAGTGCTTTGAGAGTCTGTACTATCAATTAATACACACCAACTAAAAAAATCAGATAAATAAATAAAATTTCTTACATGTATTTTTCCAAATTGTCCCACTACAGCACCAACGGCCCCTGCTGCTCCACTAACAAACATAGTTTCTCCAGCTTTGGGCTTCAAGACCTCTGTCACTCCAAAGTATGCTGTCATTCTGCAATCATAAACAGCATTTACGTTTTTCATTTTATTTATAGAGGGTAACTGTCCATGCGTATCCTAAAGTAGAAGGGCGGCTGATATTTAGAGGCCCTCTTTTATGGGAAATAAAAATGCTTATCAGCTAATTTTCAGTACAATGCTTTAAGGAAGTGAGATGTGTTTTAGCGGTGACAAAACAATCCTGGGATGTCACATGATTTGAACCCAGGACCTTGGGATTGGAAGGCAAGCACCTTAACTACTAAGCTGTACTTCAGCATGAAGTTAAACATATTCCGAGAAGATGAGGTGAAGTGTATTCCCTCTATCAGCATTAATTATTCTGCCATTACATTAATTTTTGGTAGATAAAATTACTGTTTTGCTATTTATTAAAAGCATTTTAATATACCTAATTGTTTTACATCATTTCTAGAGGTGCTGTCCTCAGTCTCTTGTTTATGAGGCACGTTCCACCTTGTTCTTGAGTTCAAGGGACATAAATGACAATTGAATACTGGACTGCTTACCCAGGCATTCCAAGCATTCCGAGTGCCAGGGAGTACGGAAGATCAGCAGGATAAGCTGGAACCTTCGTTAGCTGTTGGCCATTGGAGATTGCATGAGTACACCAGCCCGACATGTTCGCAACAATAGTTCCCACTGGATAATCAGAATTCTTGCTCTCTATCACTCTGCCAATGACAAATAGTTTTCATAACTCTATACCTCTGTTCATACTACCAAACTGTATGTGAAATATAATGCAATCAGCCCCCCCCCCCCCTTTTGGGGGGTGCCCCCCCCCCCCCTTTTGGGTGGTAAAAAAACAGGGGAAAAAAGAAAAAAAGAGAGAAAAAGAAAAAAATGATAGCCCAGAATGCCTCAAATGTTATGTTCGACCTCCTACGACACTGTTGTCTCAATCGGCCCAACTTTCGGCCCCTCCTTCGGCCCCCCCTTTTGGACATTTCTGGATTCGCCCCTGGCAATTCTCACATGGTCACGATGATGTCACTACTACAGCTACAGTACATACCTGTATGGGCATACTACATAATCACATATCAATAACATCTCAAATCATTAACTCTATGGCATTCAACTCATTTAAATCATCTGTCACTATACTGTATATATGTTATATTATAATTCAACTGTAATTTAAATATTTTTTGCATGGTATGTATACTGTAGTTTTATAATAATTGTCTTATAATTTTTTTATTTGTGTATTCCTAGCTCTTGAAATAAAATGTCATGTACTATACATTAAATGGAATCTTGAATCCACTGTTTTTTTGTCACATAAAATTTTGTTCTGTTATATAGTGACACTATCAAATGTTTATGTAACAAATGATATGCCAATACTTTGCATACTTGACATCAGCATTCCCATATGGCCAAATTTGATGGTGTTGACAGAGTTTAATGAAATTATTATTAATCAAATTATTCAATGGGTCCGATTACTTACTATTAATATAAATCTACATAGAACACTTGTGAATCTGTCTCTTATACACATCTAGATGTGTATAAGAGACAGCCATTGGGCAGTCCTTGATTTCCTCCCCCCACCCCAATTTTTGTAATAATTGTAACAAAAATGGAGGAAAAGGAATTTGATCTGAGAGTGCCATTTCCGGCCATCTATAGGTGCCACAAGGTGGGGTTGAGGTGGTCGACACTCTTAATCTGTAAAACTACCTCCCTGGGTCCCTCTATTTCAAAATTCTGGATCTGCCACTGTCAAATACTTAGTGTTAAAATTACTATATGTGCCAGTTTTCTTTGTACCTTTAATTGCTTTATTAGTATCATTCTATAGTCTAGAAATTATATTAAGGTAGTGAATCATATTCTATGTTATTGTGATTATAAATACCAAATCAAAGGAATTTTAACATACTTGGCCACATTTTCTCCAATCATGGTGTCTCCTTCTTTCATACTTGAATTGAATGCCCTATGTAAAATAAATTGCAAAATATGTTGTAAATATTATTGCAGCTCTTAAAAGTGCAAGTAGAGCATTCAAAGAAAACGCAAACAAAGATGAAAAGTATGAAAGTGTATGCAGATTTGTTATGTACATTGTTGAATGGCCCATCATCTTCAAGTCCTGAAAATACCAACTATTTGGCTTATGAGTAATTAAACAGCTTAAAACCAAGGTTTTTACTACTGTACATGGTCAAATTAGGTCCGCAGAGCCATTAAATTTGGCAGGTGTGAAAAAATGAAATTAATAATAATAATAAAATAAAATTAATTTATATAAATAGCTTTTCCCATTAAAGCTGAAGACAAAAACGCAACCCCTGGGTGTCTACTAACAACATTCAAGTAACGATCAGGCGTGTGAACATGCCTCCTGTTGTATGGAAGATTAAAATATGCACTTTAGGTCTATGCAAGCTTGTATAAAAACACAGTCTTTGATTACAGACAACCCACTGAGATCTAAAAAAAAATGTTAAATACTACTATCAACAAATACCAAGGAAGGTCTTGCTATCTGCAAAAAAAACCAGGGAGGACTTGTTTAATTGAGCAGACTCAAAATCAATGTGGTATAAAGCTTTCAGAAAATAGCCTATGGCTACTTGCCACCTGCTTATTTTCTCCACAGACTTTTCTTTTTTTCCAACTAGAGATTTTTTTTTCCTTCTGGCCATTTCCCTCAACTATGTTTCCCAAGTGTTTTTTTCAATTTATTTTTTCTCCTAGTTTTCCCATTGAATGTTTTTTAATGATTTTTGATTAAGCGCCCCTTCTAATTTGAATAAACGTGCCCTCATTAATATCATGTGATTTTCTATTTAGAAAATCAATAATCTAATCAATCCTGGGACTGTGGTTATTGGCATGATCTGAGCTGCAGAGTGCAAACACATTCTTCTTATTAGGTCAATATCAAAATGAGGATATTTCTCTAGGACAGATTTATAGTGAATGACCAATTCTGTATCCAATAACCAGTGGAAAAATTGCCTTGACCAGTTTTCTAGATATGTGCGATAAAAATCCTATTATATCATATAAAAAAATAAATAACAAAATATCACCTCATTTACATCAATTTCCCTAAGATTATTATCCTCTCTCCCCCTCCCACACATTTGAGGGTAACACCTTTACCTTAGTTAAGGCCTACATTGCCACCGAGAAAACAATGTAAGAGTTTTCGAGAATATATTAAACTATAATAAATGTTAGGATTTTCAAAAAAATCCATAAATTTGTTTACATTGAGGAGAAGACTGCGGAGGGGAGCAAGACCTAAAAAAATGTGTTCACTCCTTCGGACCAATAGAAATGTATTGAGCAGTTTCATAAAATAAGTGCATATTTCACTATTATTACATTAAAGTATTGCAACAAACTAAAAACTGAAACTAATGATTATACAAATTACAGCATGAGTCAGCAAAAAAGTTATATGAATGTTAGTTAACTTGTATGTACTTTTTTGCTGACTCATGCAAGATAACATAGTGTTATACCACTAAGTTATCTTGCATGAGTCTCACTAAGTTATCTTGCATGAGTCAGCAAAAAAAAAAAAAAATTTGTACAAATATTGACTTTTTCAAATCCAGCGATTAAAGTCCTCGCTAATTATCGTAAATAATTTCTCTTGCATGAGTCAGCAAAAATGTTTACGATATATTTATGAATCAAAGGCTATTGAATATGGTCGAAGTTTGTATAGACACAAGCACTTGATAGATAGAAGCAGACAGACTGAAGTGCAACAAATACTGTAAATCACAGTTCTGAAGGGAAAGTCAAATTTAGTAAACAATAGTATCAAGCTGTTTAATGTTTCAGGGTTTATAGTAGAGTCATTTTCATGAGATCCGTGACTAATTTTAGGATACCTTTGTTTCTCGATGGATTTGGCAAGATGGACCAATTTAGATAAAATATAGCTCCTATATACCTCCCAGATATGGGGGGGAGGGGGGGGCGTTTTTCAAAATGGCCGCCTGTTGATTTGGACGCTTGTATCTCGATAACCACTGGTCAGAGAGGCTTGATTTTGGTCTCAAATTGTTCACAATATGCATGTTCCTATTTGTTGTAATACAACTTTTTATCAAAAAATGTCGGGAAATGTGCTTTTTGAAAGTTTGACCTTTGGTCTTGTAATGTCATATCTCGGTAACTACTGGTCATAGAGACTCACAATTGATTGCAAAGTGTTCAGGAGATTCATGTTTATATTCGTCTTAATGAAAAAAATATTCAAATAGTAACCGGAAACGATACATTCTGACCTTTGACCTATTGTAGGGTCATTCCATGTCAAATCAACCAGATTAAAAAAGAAATTCCTGTATGTCCGTCTCAGATTTTGATGAAACTCCATAAAAATGATCCACTGTGTGCTAAACCAACAAAAAAAAAATTAGCCTCATAGGATATGTAGTTTTCGAGATATTGACTCCTCAAAAATATGGGGCGTGGTTCTGCCAGATGTGCAAACGCAATTTACTTCAACTTTGCAAGCTTATAACTCGAGATTGGTAATAGCTATCAGGGTCAAAGTTGGTATTCTAACTTATTTTTTGCCATGTTTTACAAATATGGCCTTAGATTAACAGTTATCTTTTTCCTTTTGAAGTTATCTGCAATAAAAATAGCCGTTTTGTTTAACGATGCAAATTTTTTTGTGATTTTTGAGGTCACCCTGCGTCTATATGAGTGGGTATATACCCCTCATATTACAGATATATTATCTATGTGTAGTTGTCTCTAGCCACATGCAAGCACAGGCTGATCAAATCAGTTGAAATTGAATGGCATATATTCAAAATTGGGACCAGATCTATAAAAGTGAAAAACACCAATGCTTCTCAACAACGGATCGTCTTGTGGATAGTTAAAATCTTTTCTTAAATTTACCCCAGTTAATCAGATACATTGGATCTACCTTTAAACCAAATTTTAGCTTTGGTACTTAGCTCATGGCTAGATACTATGTTGAAAACTACACATATTTCAACGTAATAGGAAATCACAAACATTTTTAAAAGTTGGGTCATTCCATGCCAAACAAACAAATGCATTACACCATGGGTCATAGATTTTTTTTTTTTTTTTTTTGCCACACTGACTCAGTGATACAGATATCTATGTGAACTGAAAACCTGAAATTTTGAGACTCGCCAATTCGTTCATTTTCCTGTGAAAAAAAACTTTCGTGATTTCCCATTATGTTATTGTGTAGTTTTCAACATAGTATCTAACCATGAAGGAGCTGAGTACCAAAGCTGAAATTTGGTTTATAGGTAGATCTATATATCTGATTAACTGGGGTAAATTTAAGAAAAGATTTTAAATGTCCACATTGTTGACATTGTTGAGAAACATAGGCGTTTTTCACTTTTATATATCTGGTCCTTTGGTAACTTTGAATATATGCCATTAAACTTTAATTGATTTGATCAGCCTGCGCTTGCATATGGCTAGAGACAACTACACTTAGATAATATATCTGTAATATGAGGGGTATATACCCACTCAAATGGACGCAGGATGACCTCGAAAATCACACAAAAATTTGCATCGTTAAACAAAGCTGCTATTTTCAGTTCAGATAACTTCAAAAGGGAAGGGATAACTGCTAATCCATATTTGTGAAATATGGCGAAAAATAAGTTATAATACCAAGTTTATAAGCTTCCAAAGTTGAAGTAAATTGCGTTTGCACATCTTGAAGAACCACGCCCCTTTTTTGAGGAGTCAATATTTCGGAAACTATATATCCTATAAGGCTAATTTTTTTTTGTTGGTTCAGCATATAGTGGATCATTTTTGTGGAGTTTCATGAAAATCTGAGACAGTCATTCAGGATTTTTTTTTTTTTTTAATCTGGTTGATTTGACATGGAATGACCCTACAATAGGTCAAAGGTCAGAATGTACCGTTTCCGGTCACTATTTGAATATTTTTTTCATTAAAAAGAATATAAACATGAATCTTTTGAACACTTTGAAATCAATTGTGAGTCTCTGTGACCAGTAGTTACCAAGATATGACATTACAAGGTCAAAGGTCTGCGTTTAAGTCACACAGGCTCGACGCGACAACAAATCGCGTCGGGCTGCGTCGTACGACGCTGTCTGAGTTGGCCTTTAGGAACTAATCAAAGACATTGTGTGCATATTTTCAAGGGCATTTGTCAATTTTAAGATAGCATATATGACAATTTCTTTATCTTTAGCGGTTGAATTCTCAGATACAGTACCTTGAACAAGTTAGTTTTTCCTGTTCAGCTCCCTTTACTGTAAATTATCACACCTAATCCATATTTGTGAAATATGGCGTGAGTCTCACACCTCTGGCAATATTTTATTATTTTTAACAAATTTATGTATAATTTTAATTAATCATTTAATTATCTGGAGATTCTATAAATTTAAAACCTAGAAAATACTTATTTTTGGCTTTCAGTCAGGTTTAGATCTACCCATACAACTTATTTTTCATGAAACCTGTAATTTGCAATTAGCTGGAGAAGGCCTTAAACTATAAACAGAAGCTGCAATTAAAGTAGACCTAGGTGCATTCGAGCCATACACGCCTATTAAATTCCGTGTATATGACAGGTAAACGCACGGCTTTACACCACGGAGGGTCCCCGCATTCGAGCACAAACTTATCTTGTCTAATCGTGTAAAAATTTACCTCAGAAATACTTGTTTGAGGTCAGCGAGGCAATAGTATATCCCATCATGCCACGAAATATTTACGTTTCTAACCACGCTTCACGCACTTGTACTGTACTCCCTGCGCAAATACTTCAGTTTATTGGTGACCTGTGTCACAGTCAGCTTTCCCCTAAATTTTTCTTCGATCTTTGCAGTTATTTCTTTGTAAGTACCGCTGTTTCGGCGGGTGCCGTCCAGTTGTCTTTGTATTATGTCTTCCCCCCACAATGAGAGAAGGTAACGTATCATAGGTTCAGTCCACACAGACATGTTGAAATGATGAAGATGATGCTATAACATTAACAACAGGTCAGCGAATGCATTTGTTTTTGTAAAACTGGACAGGCCTATGGTTTTCGCGCGTGTTGAATTGAATTCATGTTGACCGCCAGACGGTAGAGTCATTAAAACATGAATTATGGTCTTTGACAGCGATACACGGTTCTATAACCCTAAATTTGGTGGTCAAAATAGGCGAGCGTGTTCCAGATGTTTTTTACATCTTACCCCCGTTCGAGCTTCCGTGTAAATACACGGACCTCACACGGATATTTTTCTGGCTCGAACGCACCCCTACAGTGCAATACCCTTCAAAATATTTAGTACTTCCCAACGCAGGGGGATATAGATAAGTCAGGGCCTTGATGTTTCATAGTTGATATTTTAGAAGATGTGACCGTCCAGTTGCTGGATTCGAGGCCTGAGTAGATTACAATAATATGAAACTTTAATAGGACAAAAGTAAAAAAATATCTCAAACAGATGTTTATAATATGGGAGAAGAAAGAAGAAGAACAAATTACTTATATAGAAAAATAAATTAAGATATATACACAATTCAAAGGAAACTTCTTCCTAATATTTTACATTGTCAAAACCATTCTCTAAATAGTCAATGGTCAAGTATTTTTAATGTGTAACAGTAAAATCTGTCCCAAGGCGCATTTTAGCCAAGAAACTAAAATATAACTTGTGATCGGTTCTGGCAAAAAACTCTGTCACAATTTCTAATTTACCGCAAAGCACCCAAAATGTTTGAAATCAGAACTTTTAACAATTTCTTTTGCATTTTATAAAAGTAGATATGTTGAAGAAAATTTCTGTAAAATATAAATGACTAAATCTAACTGAGAAATATATTAAAATTATTTTTATGAATACAAATCTTAATAATAAACTACTGATTTTGGAATGTTTAGAAGCTAATTAATCAAAACCTACATGGCTGATATCCAATGAATTATATAACTTTGCTAATACTCCACCAGTTTCCATCAAATAAACACTGTTTCAAAGAATAATTCATATATAATCTAAAAATACCAAAAACTCAATTTTGAATTTTCCCTACAAATGGCTGGTTTAGCCAGACTGTGCGAATGCGATGGGGATTAAGAAGGTGTACACTGACCACTGAACTATCAACAATCAAACAAATCTCTGCTAGTTTTCTCTGGGACTTTGTAAATAAAATTTATAAAGTACTGTACCTCATATATGGATCAACAGTCAGATACAAGGTTTCCAGAAGCACCTCTGAAAAACAAAATGAAATTATTGTTAACAATTACAAATAAAATTATCAAATTTACTGTACCTCATAAATACTGGAATTCGTTTTGGGGAATCTAGATTTTGTATTGGGAAACTCCTGCATTACATTTGAAAAGATCTAGTTTAAGAATTATATAAAAAATAAATAGATAAATGAATGCATTTATTTTTTTAATGCCAGACACAACGTTTAATGTGTAAGCTGCTACTAGTTTAAGGAATAGGAGTAGTTTAGTCTCATTGTTATTGTTTTATGACTATTTTTATTTTATTTTATTATTATTACTTTATTGTTTTTGCTTTTTCTCAGTTGGCCTATATTATTTTTCTGTAAAGCGCATAGGGGCAATGTGCAATATGCGCTATATAAATATAACATTATTATTATTATTACTACAAAAAGTCAATTTCTATTTTTAAAAACAAATTGTTCCAATCAGCCTACAGATCACAACAAATTTTATGTATACATGAGGTTTTGTTTATTTTTTAAAAATATGAAGTATTGCATTTATACAGCCTGTATTTATGGGAAAAGTCAATACATAAATAACATTATCTAATTATTAATGATGAATAATAATTTCAAACACTTGTTGGATACCTCCATCTTTTATAGCTGGCAGCTCTTTTTCCACAATTTTCAAGTCTTCCTCTTTCGGCATCCCCGAAAAATGCTTCACCAACACAAACCGTCTTTGCTTCACCATGATCAACTATTTTTTTTTTTTTTTTTTTTGGTTGTACTGGTTATTCTATAATTGAATAAGCTATAAAAATAGTTTAGAAAATTATTTATAGCAATAATGTAAAGGCATCCAACTCTGAGCCTACCATGGTGAGTAATCAGTGGCGACGCGACCTGTGTTAAAATCTTGCCTTGCAGTGGCGGCTCACGCATACATTTTCTGGGGTGGGGGGGGGCGCTAAACCGTCCAACAGGGGGACTTGAGCTTGTATGCCTGAGGAGGGGATGGTTTGGGAGGGGGTTCCAGCCCCTCCCTCATATGAGATTTTTTCTTAATAGGGACCTCTGGTAGCCGGAAATGGCACTCTACGACTGTGAAAAGACATGTTTTGGCTTGATGTATGCCCGGCCTCTTCTTTAACTTTTTTGGTGGGACGTACACATGACGAGCTCGGCAGGTGGGGGGGGGGAGACCCGTGGGGGGTAACTTGTCAGACGGGGGAGCCTTAACTTGTCAGATGGGGAAGGGGTGCTGAAAAAGCCCCGTGCCTGCCCACACTGGTGTCACCCTGTTGCCCTGCCATCGAGAAAACACAACTCTCCATGTGTAGCCTCTATCTACTACTACTAGGCCTACAGCATTAATGTAGGCCACAAGCATGTGATATTACTCGGAGCTCCATCCATGGTTTAATAATGTACTAGCCTGGCCTGTATTTAGTGCGTGTGCTGGGGGGGATGGCCTAGACCGCTAATACTTACTGGTGCTGATGTTGGCGCTGTACTGTTCAAAGCGATGGATGCTGGTGTCGGTGGTAGGTTTCCTTTGTTTGGGGTGAGCTTGATGTTGGTTGCATACAGCAGGTAGGCGATGTATCCGTTTAGTTTACAGTCGAGACAAGTCAGGTGGCCACAATCCAGTTTGCTGAATGAAAGATTGCCGAGACCACTTTGCCGAATCCCAGTAGCCGACTTATAAACAATGAATCCCAGTTGGCCGAAACCCAGTTTGGCGAGTCATTACGCGTTAAAAAAGTGTTTACATAAATGCGTCAAAAGTGTTTACAATGCGCGTTAGCAACAAATTGTTTACATTATGCATTGATTTTTACCTTATGCCTTATTTTTTTTACATTAAGCGTCAAACCTTTTTACATTATGCGTTAACCATTTTTTTTTTACTTTGCGGTGTCGTTGTCGTTTTACATTTATTATCGGTTGTTACAGCTCACCCACAGCTCTTTATGTATTAACAATCCTCGCTATTATGATAGAAACCCCAACTCAACAGCTTATGTAGTAAAAAGATAATACCCACAGCTAATGTGGAATGCTCAACAGCTAATGTTGTTACGAAAATTTACTCACACAGCTAATGTAACTATACTGTCCTTAAATTACAGTGGCTGATCTGGGTTCACATTTGTGGAGGGGGTAATTTTTTTTTTCATAAAAACCCCAAAAAGAAAGGGGGTCCGGGTCTTCCCCCGGGAAATTTTTTTTATTTCTAGAAGGCAAAATAAAAAAAATGAATTCCCGACCTGAAGTGTCTTTAAATGACTTCAAAAGGTTTTTCTCTTTTGTAAACGGTGGGTATTTTTTTTTCTCATTTTTATTACAGTAAACAGGCCTATTTATGTGTGTATACGTACATAACAAAAATTGAGTAGTTGCATATTCTTTTGAGTCCATGAATCGATGAGCCCCAAGTAGGAGGATTAATGGTCCTCTCCTCCCGGGCTGTCTCTTATACACATCTAGATGTGTATAAGAGACAGTGACAATTCGGAAGATTCTAGATGAATAAAGGTATATGTGATTTTATGTTAAAATGAAAATTTGAAAAAAAATAAAAATGTTTAATCATGTTGATAGTGCTTAATAAATAGAGCTTTACTTTCTTATGCACAAAACAAAAAAATTCTGGGGACAACCTAGTAGATAAATCCAAGCTATGCCAACTTTCAACAAAACAATATCAATTCAGTCTGTTCTTAATTTGTTTTTTTTTTTTTTTTGTAATTTTTTTTATTTGAGATCTGAGTAGGCTATTGGTTTTTTACTAAACACATAACAACTTTTTTTTTTATTACATTACCATAAAACATGCAATTTTAGTTTAAATTCCTGACATCTGATAATGTGTTATATATTTTAACTAGTATTGAATTTTTCCGTAACATTCTACGCTGACAATAGATCTTGCAATTGTATTTGTGGGTATATTGTTCCAAAATTCTGGGCGTGAGGTCCACGGTCGAAGCCCCGGTGGGGTCGGCAAAACCCCCAAAGCAAGAGGATTTTTGTGCTTTATGGGTCTAAATAATGCTATAAAACAGATATGTTTGAAAACGTCTGTGTCTAGGTGGGTCTGCAGTTCATTAGTTGGGTTGGAAGATTTATTTGGGAAATTTAAAGAGGGGGGTTTGCTAGAAAAGGGGGTTCTCCCGAACCATTAAACCCCCCCACCCGGATACGGGCCTGTTATGGTACAGTTTATCCGTGTCGCCAAATGCGCGTAATTTACGTTACATAATCATATTTGCCAGGAAAAACATATATTATTGCAGGAAAACTTTGAGGTAATAACTAATATTTGCTTAGTATAAGATTTTATGAATACTGTATTTTTAATTCGGAAAAGTAAATAGTCATCTATGCAAAATATGGTCTTAAACTTGAAATTTTGATTGTCGCTTTTAAGCAGTGAAACATACGTTACCTGACTTCTTCATATACCAGTTCAAGAATGTTAACCAAACTAAACTTGAGAAGTAGTTAAGTAATAAGCATGGATACAACATCAGTAAATCATAATTGGTGTTATGCAATCATGTTTAATTAGTAATTGTAATTAGAAAGGTAATTTACGTTACAGCAACCTACGTTACGTTTTGGAATATTAATCCATATTAATAAAATATAGAGGGCATAAAACTATTATAAATGACTTTATTGACGCCGCCAACAACACATAAAAGTTTTAGAACCTTCTAAGAAAAAATGGCATTGAGCAAATTAACACTCTGAACCTTATGTTTACCAAATTTGTGCTTTCCTCGAATGTTGGTCCTATGTCCATCATTAAACTGAAGCAATTTCGTAAGTATTTATTATAGGCTGTGTCTCGACCATATTTAGTTAACATAATAGTTGATATTTACAATGAAATGAAAAGCTTAGGCCTAGTTGAAAGGAATACGTTGTGAAAAATAACGTATGTTAAACACAAGGTAACGTATGTTATTGATGATATAGCATGTAATAAACATCACTTAATAAAAATATGGCAGTGACTGATATATTTACTTTCTTTTACATATATCCTAACATACATTGACTCTCTATAGGAATGCTATCATTCATGGAAATTATTTCTATTGCATATATTTCTGATTTATTTTGATGGTAACGTATATTACAGTAAAATATTACGTGTACATTAAAATCGCGAGTAAATTCATGAAAGCAAACGTTCACATTAAATGCATTTACCTAATTAACATTCTTTAACATTAAATAGATATGATGACAACAAATATGTTTGCAAATCATCTTTATAATGTTCTATTAGATGAGTAATCCTGGTAACGTAGGTTACAAAACTTCATCAAATTGAAAAAACGATCAAACCTAGAGGCTTAACAATATATCATTAAAAAAAGAACATATTATCAACTACTTCAATTATTTTTTTTCTCAAAAACCATAGCTAAAATAAATATTAAAAACAAATCAAATATCCTTGTTGTTGATTATAGACAAAAAATATTCTTTTGTGGTCATTTATGATAGTTTTAAATAAATTTGCTCATTTTGAATGCGAGGTTATTATTTATTTTTAATATACATGTACTGTATATACTTACAATTGAGAAGAGAAATTATAATTTTACTTGCTTTTACAACGATAGACTCATGATCGGTTTTACATACTTATATGAAACTTACGTTACTAACATTTACGTAAATAATGCGATTATCATTGGAGGTGTATGTTTAACTAATTTATGTCATTTGTTATCAGAGCATCTCCGTAGATTTTTAATGGGGAAGATATATGTTGTTTGTTTACTTTTAGTGATCGAAAATGAAAAGTATCAACCGGATTAAAATATATTATTACAGCATCAATTTTTCAAAACAATATAAATTTGTAATTACTTGGGTGTGGTAATTTTCCCTAACTTGTTTTTTTTAAATTTTTCATCGTATGTATAATGATATTTATAGGTACATTTTACACTTAGTTGTAGATAATCGTCTTACAACCATCTATTATTCAACATTGGTTCAGTAACTTACGTTATCGCATATCAAATGTATTGATAATGTTGAAGGGTATGCTGTGAAAAAACTATTTGAAGTTAAATGTTATTTTAACTTTAGAGAATTGTTCTTGACATATCAAAGTTTCGTTCTAAATAAAACCCTAGTCTGTTAACTGAACTTAATTTTTCTTGATGTTTAAAGTCCAATCGCACGTTTATAGTGAGCCTGACCCTTCATGACATGTTGCAGTCGAGTGTGTCTTTGCCGACAAAAGTAATACAGACTTGCAGTTGAGTGGTATTTCAATTTTAAAATTTCACATTTTCAGTTACAATTTTAAAAATCTGAATACATCACAAGGTGTATTTTGTCCCCAAAAGGGCAAAAAGCTATATAAAAAAAAAGTGCATTTTGAAAAATATGTCCGTTGAATGTTTTTTTTTTTTTTTTTTTTAATGACAGGGCGGATTAGTTGTGAAAAGCCTACAGTCCATAGTTTTTATCAGAAATTCGTCAAACTTGGCCACAATGTTTCTTTACCTAAGTTCTAGAAGGGTCAGGGTCAAAGGTCAAGGTCACAATCAACGAAAAACTTTTTTATTTATTTGTCTACAGCTCATATTTTTAATCACAAACTTGTCAAACTTGGTAACAATGTTCCATGACCAACGATCTCAAAGTATTTGAACAGATATTTAAATGTTACAATGGGGAACTACCGACCTCGACATGAACAATGTGAGACCTAAGCCTTATACTGAGTAGTGGTTACCGAGATGAGCACCAGATCTCATATAGGCACAGGTGGCCATTTAAAAAAGGTGCCCTCACAGGTTTACTTCCCATTAGGAAATCTACAGATGTGTAGACAACCTGATTGTAGTTCCTCGCATGTTTTTTTTCAGCCAATGGTATGGAAACATTGTAATATTTTACATTAGCTGGCGGCTATAGTAGTTAATTAGCTGTGAGGCAATTTTCGTTTAGCCTACTATGTTGAGCGTTCTACATTAGCTGGGATTGATTTTCTGTTTACTACAGTACATATTCAGGTTTGTACATTTGCGGGAGGTTGTGGAGTGTGCTACATTAACGGTTACTACATTAGCTTTTGTTTTCTACATTAGCGGTTTTAACACGGCTAATTATAATCTGCTTTCGTTAATGAAATTTGAAAATTTACCTCTGTTACAATTCCGCGATTTTATCGTTGGTGAGTCAATATTTTTTCCAAGGTTTTGGTGACACCAGATTTGTTAGTGTGGCTTTGTAATTCACGTTTGTTTCATACGACCACTTTTCACGAGGTAACGTTAAAATCCAATATAACATGAATCAATTTTGGTAGTTTGTGTTTGTGTTAGACACCAATATTGACTGCCATAAGTCAAATCTAATCGGACAGGAACTTCAAGGAATGACAATAATATGTATCTAGTTTGATGCCGTAGTTACAGAAAATTTTTTTAATTCATAGACTTTATAGGTAGCTGAAGTACGATTTTCTATAAAGTAACCCGTTGAGGAATTGTTGTATTCCAGTTTTGCGCCAAAATATTTAAAATCTCTTACATTTTTTATGTCTTCATCGTCAATGGGCAAACACGTCTAGCACATGGTAAGCGTAAATATTGTAGCAGATAGATTACTCTATCCCACCTTACGAACGCCGGAGGTAGTTTTTAAGGTTCGTTTTCAACCTTTTGAATTACAAAACTGGTTTTGAATACATGCCTTCAAAGAGTTGATTTATCATATCGTGGAAGTTTCCCCTAATACCATTGTAAAGATCGTCATCAGAAATGGTCTTGAAATGTGGTCAAAGACTGTACTTAGATCGACCATACCGATATAAATCTCAATTTGTTGTTTTCATTGCCACTGTTGTAAGCGTTGCAAAGTACATACCGTCGTTGCAACCTCCAGACGAACAGAGATTGCGAATTTTGTCAAAACCTAGTTGGAGAATGCCCAAAATGCTGAATGATTTAACCCAGAGCATAACCCAATAAATCCGATTATTATAATTTATACTGGCATCGAACAGGTTAATGAGTACAAATACTATAGGTTGCATTGTTGATAGCAAAATTAACATGGACCCCACATGTACATAAAGATATTCAAAAGCTAACCAAGGCTTTTTATACGTAAAATGAAAATTTTAGGTGTTGATACCGAACCTATTTCTCTCTTCTTCGTAGCGTCAAGACTTTTTGCTTCATTTGATTTTACTAAATCATGCTAAATAAAGACAAAGCTAAATATGATGAAATTTGTCAAAAATCAAGTAAGAAAATTGGGATCAAAATTGGTGATTTTAAATCATTGTATCAGAACCGAGTACTAAACGGTTAGGCGTATAAAGGAAGACAAAACTCATATAATGTCCCAGCTGTATTCACTAAAAAATCTGTTCTTAGGCTCAAAACTCACCGTAACAACACAGACTGTCTGCATCTTTCTTTTATCCATGATAGTATTCATATTTTTATGAAAACATTGTAGGACTAATATAGTGATTCACATCTTCAGATAATTCATCGTATTGAGTGGTGTTTTTTTACTCAGCCTACCCCTAATGGGCTAGGCTAGTAATACATATTAATGGTAGTCGGAACCTTCGTAACTACTTCAAGAGGGCCCATGAGATCTTAGCAGTCTAATAAGATTTTCAGCAACTTTTCAAAAAAATTGGGTCGTGAACCTATAGTTTGAACAAGGATAGGCCATCAGCTGTACAGCTAAAAGCGCCTAGAAAAGCAACATGTGCCCCGGCTAAAATATTTACCTGCTGATTTTTCCAGTTTACCCTCTCCAACACAGGAGGAATCGTGTGTAAAAAAGTAATAAAACAAACTCGCATCCAAAACCTATGATCGGTGGATTTTAATGATACCCTATTATGTTAAAAACGAACACTTTTTGCGTTTTACTCCATGATCAGAGGTCAATAAAATCATGCCCAAATCTCTAACAAATGAATGTTCATATTCCAGAATCATACACAGTTCCTAACAGACATAGAGATTGTGGTAGTATTATTGATTAATTAAAACTTTCAAAAATAAACTTTAAACTTCAAAACATTAAGGAAATATGTCTTTTTTTCCTATCCCAGTTAAACGTCCTAGGCCATCAGCTGTAATCTGTATCGTTCAGTTTCTCCCAGCTACAGATGGACCAGCAGATTTTTCTACTCAATTTACTTTTTTGTGGGGGGTCATCCACCATTACTTTGTCCCTTATGCATGATTTTTAGTTTACATTTTATTCATGTATTTTCATTCATATAATTATTCTTGGAATAATATTGATGCTTCTATGCGTAATTTAGTATCTGTCAAAATGTTTAAAATGATGTATAAAAAGTATTTGTTGTTAACATATCAAAGGGTCCTTTATATATTTACATTCATCATATCCTGCCAAAATGTTTTTGTCACTGTCTTGTTTCACGTCATGTTTGTCCGTGTAATTGTTATACGAGCTCTGCTATTTTGTTTGTCATCCTTCCTTTGATCAATATATGAAAATATGGAAGTTGTTTGGAAAATAAACTGAAACTGAAACAAGATTTTATACAGTTGGCCTATGCAAAACGTTGATCAGATTGAACTTAAATAAATTAAAGTAAGTAAATTGTTTAAAGGTATCAAATAAAAATGCATTCTGTAAAATTATGGTTGTAAACTGTGGTTCGATCCAAATGCAATATGTAGACGTTGATGTGTTGGGGTGAGCACTTTCAATAAGATAGTACAACAGTTCCTTCAGTAAAAATATGCTGCAAGCTTTATTCAGTATCAACTATTCTACTGCATTATACACATATACAAACGTCGACTAACTCTCGGTTTCTCAGATGTTAGAATACAACCCTTTTAGGGTTGAGTCAGTCTATTCTACTCTCTACTATTTTACTACTGTTATTCTGAGTCAGTAATATTAGGGTGTCTCTATTATACTTTCTAGTATTGAGGCGTGTCTTAACCAAATCACCTCATACTTTTGGAATATCTGATTGGATCACAGAGACATTCTTTTCCTATGATATAATAAATTGGTTGCTTACAATACTATTAATTAAAGTGGATTGCTTATCAAACATTTGGTTCAAAGGTGACAACCAACTGTGTGAGAAAGTGTAAGTCCAATTTTCCAGGGATGAATGTTTGTTACTTTATAATGATAATTATTATTATTATGATTAGACTAACTCTAATAATTTATCATTGACATTTGAATGTTTCTTTTGAACGTTACTTATATTACACATATACTAAATAATCTATTTTTTTTCTCTAAACAAATACCGTACATTTTTTTCTCTATATTTTTCTCTATAAAATAATTCCTATGGTTATATAAGTTAAATATTATTGAACCTTAATACTGCATTACATCCCACTATTATTAGACTTTTTATTATTATTATTATTATTATTATTATTATTATTATTATTATTATTATTATTAGACTCACTAATAATTTATCATTGACATTTGAATGTTTCTTTTGAACGTTACTTATATTACACATTGTACTAATTAATCTATTTTTCTCTCTAAACAAATACCATATATTTTGATTCCTTATATTTTCCTTTCTGGTCTTAACAATAATTGATTTGTAGAACAAAAAGTAAACCCAAAAATAAGTTCATTTTAATGTTTGCTATTCTTTCCTGTAGCTAATGTTAAACCAACATGAAAGTTTTTCTTTACTAATTAATTATTTGAAAAACACAATTGCTTTAAATTTAGCGAGCATTTGTATATCAGTTTTTGTGCTTATCATTTGCAAATTTACTGAAAATGAGGATTACGATATTCATGTATTTTCTAGTTGTATAGAGGTTACACAGTGTTAAATTTTTACTGGTTTGTCATTTGTGAGATTTGCAATACGTTTACACATAGGAGAGTGTTGACTGCGCACACTGTGTGCAGGATGTGATCAAACTGTGGATGCAATGTGGACACGGTGTGGTGGACACGATGTGGTGAACACTCTGACAATTTTCTTAGGGTAAACTAAAATGTTATAAATAGCACTTTCCTTCTGTTCTTGTTCCTTTACTTATTACATCTTTAAACATTTATTTTTTTAAACGATTATCCATTAACAAAAGAATGGAAACTGCTCCCTGTGATTCTAGATATGACTTTTGCCGAATGGAACTAAGATTATTGCCAAAACGATCAGTGTGACATATACACAAGTGCAATACGTAGACTATTTCCATATCATATATGTTTACATCATAATTTGTCTTCCCTAAAAATGGTATTACACTTTAATTTAGCATTACTTTAGCTTCTACAGGCAGGCCTAAACCCGCCAGGATTTGCCAGACCTTGATAATTATGACGTAGGCCATTTAAAATAGCAATCATTCAAAATTAATTCCAAGGACTACAAACCTGTGTCTAGTAGGCAGTAAATAATAAACAAATTCATCCAAAGGTAAAGGCCTTTTTAAATTTTAGAAAGACTATCATCACTGATAATTCAGTAAACAGGGATATTAGTATTGTTCAGTATCGTGAAGCTATGTCTTAACGGGCCACAAGAAGATAAAAATAATATTAAAGTCAATATGCATGTAGCTTCGGTAAGAATGTTTCGTGTTTGTATTCCTGTCATAGGTTCAAACACCCTGTTGCTGAAGCGAAGTGCTTCACACCTGCATCGCAGGTAGGGGATAGGGGATGCCTCCTAGTGGGTAAATAAACATTAAATATTTTTCTGGCCAATATTAGTGACCTGGATTTGTTTGATAGCTTAATAATTTTTTTTTTACAATTTTTATTTTTTTTTTTCACTAATTTTGTCGATGAAAAATTCCCTTTGAATATTAAAATGTGTGTAAGTGAATTTTAGTTGATTTTGCACTTATTCTGTCAGTTGTATTTATTTTTTGTTTATTATACTTCTCACTTAGTTAAATACGTGAGTCAATATGTAAAAAGCCCCTTTAGTATGGTTCAGTCCTTTAATCATTATCATATATAAATATATGTATAAATATAAAATGCAAAAAAAATTACAATAAAAAAGAGGTGAAAAAACGTAGAGAAATTACGATGAAATTCAAAGAAATGGTAGCATGTAATGCCAGTTAACCCCTTTAAACAAATACGAATGCACCAGCCATATTTTGACTTCTTCCATTGGACACTTTCGGAAATTTAAAGATTTCAAATCTTTAAATGTTTAAAATTATGGAAAAAATCAATATAATTTAAAGCATTATAAGTATATAAAATGAACACCTCTGTTTATTTTTTGGTCAATTGAGATTTTAAAAGGCTTATTCTCTAAGGCTTGTTAAGTTTGACTGAAACTAATTACTAATTATATTAAAAGTTACAACTTTTAGTACATTTAGTATTCTTAATTAGGACTATATGTAGTCTTGGTTGCCATGTGGATGTTCATATATTAGCCCCGTAGATTGATGTTTTCAGACATGAATGAGCGTCTTCCAAGAATAACTTGATTATTGTCACCATGATTACGAATATGTGGGCTAGGATGGGAAGGCGTGTTTGAGAATGGTCTTTGCTTCCTGGATGATCGTCGGGATTGGCCATTTGTGTATTTTGCTCCATTGCAAATCATTTCCCGCCAGTGAACTCTAACCTCCTTATTTCTGACACAGTACATTATAAAAATGAGAAACCCTTGAAAAGAGTTAAAGATACAAAAGAGCCACAGCATAATTACAGAAGCATCACCAATGGCAAAGAAGCCGATAAGCCACGTTAATCCCAAAACAATAGTAATGCTCACTCCATTCTGTAACATCTGCATCCCTTTGTTTTTTTTCTTAAAAATTTTGTGCGATCGGGTTGTATTTTTTCCAAGCTGGCCTAAATTGTGTAACACAACAAAGAATACAATCATGTTGAAAAGTAAAGACAGAGCGACAGGAACTGCAACGGCGTAGTACATACGTTGGAGAGTCAGGAAACAACTGCAAGAATATAAGATATTATAAATTGAAGGAAACATTTAAGGACGGTAATACATATGCTATTTATTGTGTGTGTG